GATGTTGGGAAAGTGTGAAGGCAAGAGGAGAAGGGGACGACCGAGGATGAGATGGTTGGACAGTGTCATCGAAGCAACCAACATGAATTTGACACAACTCCGGGAGGCGGTGGAAGATAGGAGGGCCTGGCGTGCTCTGGTCCATGGGGTCACGAAGAGTCGGACACGACTAAACGACTGAACAAACATTTTTGGGGTAGGGCTTATATTATGAGCATCCTGAAAAATCATACTAAGTCTTCTTTTCAGGTTAGGTCTTATTTTCGGGGAAACAGGGTACATACCCCACCCTTCTCCCTGAAAAGGACCCAACGTGACTTACAACACTGAAAGACAATATTTGAAGCTGAAAACACTGAGTATAAAGAGGTAGCTTACATCATTTAAAGGCAGTGTTAAAAGCTAAGAACAGTAAGTATAAAAATATTAAAAAGAAAAAAAACCCAAATACCACTCTGAAAAATGGAAAACATAAATAGTACAAAAAACCCAGTCAAAGCAGTAATACATAACAGGTTTTCATTCACACCATGGAGGATAAAGCTACCAATGCTGTAAGCCACAATGGCCATGCATCACCAATAATATCAGAGGCAGTGTTTTTCACACTTCCATCAAGCAGAAGACTCCTTCGCCCAAGATTCTTTCAGGAACCCTACACACTGCAGAGGTATATTATCTACAGCAGGGGTCCCCAACCCCCGGTGTGCAGCTCAGTGCCAGTTCGTGGCCTGAGCCGGACCAGGCCACCGAAACAGACCTCCTACCCGACCCCCCGCACACACTCACTCTCTCACAGCCCGTTTGCACCTGTGCACGCGCTCCAGCACACATGTGCCAGTGCTGCACCTCCGTTTGCGCATAAGCGTGTGCACCTCTGTGCATCAACACGAGTGTGCATGCGCAAACACCAGTGTGGCATTTGCATGGGCAGGCACGCTTGTGTGAGAGAGCACACATGCTTGTTTGTGCAATGCACATGAGTACACTCAGCCACTTCGCGCACTGAAAAAGGTTGGGGACCACTTATTTGCATTATATTCCATGATGCCCATTTGTGTTATTAGGTTCACAATTGTTCTGAATACACTGAGAATCTTCCTTTAAAACAACACCTGTACTTGTGCAGCTTCATATGCAGGGTAAGAGCACATATTATCAATGGGTAAGTTGTTTTAGGAATCCTTAATCAGTCACGTAGAATGTGAACTGCTGGATAGCTCAGTACAGTGGTGCCCCGCTTGATGACAATAACCAGTTCCAGGAAAATCGCTGTTAAGCGATATTGTCGTCAAGCAGAAAAAAACCCATTGGAGTGCACTGAAAACCAGTCAATGCGTTCCCATGGGTGAAATACCTTATCGTCCAGTGAAGATCGCCCATAGAGAACCGCTGATCAGCTGTTCAAAATCGCTGTAATGCGAAGCTTCCCTCCGGAAAGCAGCCATTTTGAGAAGGGAGGGAAGCCATTGTGCGGAACCGAAAAATAATTGTATAGCGAACAAACGGTTCACGAAGCAAGCTCCTAATCAATGTAATGTGGATTTCCCCCATAGGAACCATCGTTTTGCAATCGCAATAGCAAAAATGTCATCATTAAGCGATTTTGATGTCATGCGGGGTAAGCGTATAGCAGTTCTAAGATGATGATGATGATTGTTATTATTATTATCATCACAGTCAATCAAAATGATAAAAACTGTGACTGGTATTATAAAACAGATACAGATTTAACCAAAAACCTAAGTACCTGTTAAAAACTGATGTAGTATATATACTGTTCCTAATACTGACATTGTCTGTAGTTCTGAGGGTATTATTTCTGAGAGCTGCAGGTGTTCATAGTATCGTGTGAAATGTCTTGCTACAGTTCCTAATCCCCCTGTGACTACAGGGACCACTGAAGCATGTTTAATCCATAAGCGAGATGTTTTAACTGCTAGATCTCAGCATTTTTGTTTTTCCAATTCTTTATTTTCAAGTCTAATAAGTTGAAAACTCTAAGAAGCTGATGGCATATACCAAGATCCAGGTCTATAGAGCCTGTGTCCTGAGTATACTGCTGTACTGCAGTGAGTCCTGGACCCTTTGCACATGGCAGGAGAGGAAGCTGAACACATTCCACATGCATTGTCTCCAACACATTTTTGGTATCACCTGGCAGGACAAAGTTCCAAACAGAGTAGTCCTAGAACAAGCTGGAATTTTTAGCATATATACATTACTGAAACAGTGACGTCTACGTTGGCTCAGGCATGTTGTGAGAATGGCTGAGAGTCAGATTCCAAAAGATCTCCTGTATGGAGAATTAGTGCAGAGAAATCGCCCCAGAGGGAGACCACAGCTGCGATAAAAGGATATCTGCAAGCGGGATCTGAAGGCCTTAGGAATGGACCTCAACAGATGGGAAACCCTGACATCTGAGCGTTCAGCCTGGAGGCAGGTGGTGCATCATGGCCTCTCCCAATTTGCAGAGACCCTTGTCCAGCAGGCCGAGGCAAAGAGGCAGTCCCAAAAGCAGCAAAATCAGGGAGCTGGACAGGGGACAGATTGTACTGGTCTTCAGTGTGGGATTGTCACTCTCGAATTGGCCTTTTCAGCCACACTAGATGGTGTTCCAAGACCTCTATTCAGGGCACATTGCCATAGTCCCTCGAGACTGAAGGATGCATAATCTAAATTTTCAACTCTGGCATTGACCGGAACTGCAATGTCAATGATCCAGACATTTCTTCATTATGTTACTATTCTGTCTGGTGTGTTATGTTCAAGGTGTCTATTAGTTTGGATCCAGAAATCCAACAAGATCTTGCCAGTTTTGTTTTCTCTACCTGATGTTCCCATGGATTTTGGGAGGCTGGCAGTTTTGGTTTTTTTGTTTTGTTTTGTTTTTTGCATAATGACCACTGCACCAATTTTGCCACTGTATGTTTAATTTTGTAATCTTTGCAATCTTTGGACATTCACAGTTGAGGTGTGAAACAGTTTCATCTTTTTCTTGGCAGAATCTACAGTTACTCTTAGCACTAATTCTTTGAATCTTATTACATCACCATCAAACAGCCTATTGAGTTACAAAGACTCCTTAATTGTGATAAGTCATCCGAAAAAGTGTTAATTAACAATACAAAAATTATGGTAACATAAGATAGCATAGTAAGAGAAGCCAGACAGCCATTATTCCATCAATCAGAACTAAAAAGACTAACTGCCTTTGTTCTTTGCATATCTGAGAGCACTCTAACCTAACTGTACAACTGAAAAGTCACATGCATATATCAACAGCTATAAATGTCAGCTATCTTTCCTATTTTTTTTAATTTGAGGACAGTTTCTTTATACACACATTCTCAGAAATTTTCCACTGATTATTTGGCTGAGTGCAATAACAGCACAGGGCAAGCTTCATGTCAGTGTACAAAATTAATCTGAACAAAGGTGTATCTATACAAATGATTATCGGAAATCTGCAACCGATGTAGGGATTGGCTCCAGCTCCCAGCTGGTATATTACCCAGCTTGAGATAGAAGAAAAGTCTTATGTCGAATGTACAAAACTGAATTTAAAAAAGAAGGGGGGGGTGAATTATACATTCTATCTGAAGCCAAGAGACTTGTTTAAAAGAACAGGACATTCTCTGTGTGGATAATCAATCCTGTACACATAAGAGAGAGGATATTCCAGATGACAAACTACAAATCATCACTAAGAGGAGAGGCCATCCAGGTTGTGACAAAAACAAGAGATAGGCAGATTGGCCCTCCCAACATTCCTGCCTGCAAATGAAACAATTCTAGCCAGAGTGTAATGCTCTGGGTTCCAGTGGCTGGCACAAATATCCAGGGATCTTTGCCATCCAAATGTCCTCTCCCCCCCCCACAGGAACCCCTTCCCCATGGCACATCTCAAATTATGTTTCAAATTATTCCTCAATCTCAAAAGAGGTTTGTTATGTAGCAGGAAACTATCACATTAATGAAATACTCCTTGCATGGTTCTTTGGAACCATGCCATTTCACTTAGCAAAAAACGTGGGAGATTTCTTAGGCTGCCCAAAACTAGCAAAAAACGTGGGAGATTTCTTCGGCTGCCCAAAACTCAATAATCACAAATATTAAAACATGCATTATAAAGAACTACATTAGCAAATCCTTCTTCCACAAACCTGCACACTGTATTTACTCTTTTGCTAGAAAAAACAAGGTGAAAGAAGCTAAAGAAAGAACTCAAAATTACCTTTCAAAGGACAGGTTGGCATCTTTCACTTTCCTCAACTCTTCCTGGACTAGCTGCTTGGCACGTATTTCAGCATCAAGAGCGGATTGCAATTCCAGCCTTGCTGACATATCCAGCTTCTGACTACGTCTTACTTTCCAAAGTGGATCCTATTGCAGGAATCAATTGTTAAGACCACTGAAGAATTTATCACATGTTTAAATATTAAAGCTATTTGAAAGCTTGACTTTATGTCATCATCAGTAAGGTAGAAAAGATCCATTCAAGATTGTATTCGCAGAATGCATTCACCTTAATGACTGAGAAACATTTTATAGCGGACAGTGTGATCCAATACACATCTATTATGAGAAGCCCTACTGACTTCAGTGAGATGTACATCCAAGTAAATGTGTATGACTGCAACATGAAAGCAGAATCTGAACAGAGAATCTCTGGATAAGATATTGCTTTCAAGCCCCCCATGTGCTGAGAAACAGGATGCATACAGTACATACAAATAAAGATAAGATACATTTTAAAAAAGAATCTGAAATGAAATCTACCTTCATCTAGGTAATTATTGATGAAGGTACTGAACTGATCATTTGCCGGGATTTGTTTCAATGTGTCCCTATCTACGTGCAAGCAGATAAATGCCCACATTTCCCGTTTTACTTGTCCATGCACCACATTTTGTATTCTAGGGGTTAAACTGTCTCAGGAGATGTTACAAGAAGTCAACAAGGCCATAAACAAATAGCCTTGCCTTAAAATCATACTTGGAAGGAAATGAGTTCCAAGGCTCGCCCTTAACTTTTCAGAGAGAGAAGCAATTCCTTTCCCTTGTGCCAATGAAGCCATGACAACCAGTAGGCTGCAATGGAAATGGGGACTACTGGTAAAGCCATCCCACTTCCTATAAGGGGCTGCTTGCTCTCCTTACAGACCAACAAGAGAAAACTTCATTTGGTTCTTTTGCTATGCGTGGTTTAGTAGGGTGCCATTCTAGATATCATCCCACTGGATCAATTCCTTCTTTTCTTTAGTACTAGTCATATGACCTGTGATTACTCAATTCAATGCAATCAATTCAAATTACATATCTCACTTTATTCTTCCAAAATGCTAAAATCAACACAAAATGCCCTGCTGCTTAAAAAGCAACATTTTCACTTGGAACAAGACAAGTATAGTGTGATCTATTTCATTATCTGTTCACATACATATGATGAAGCAATGCTTAAAGGCCTGCCACTGTTGCTGACTTTCGGACCATGAACTATCCTAGTTGGATTCTGGACAAAGTTAGCCAAGAAGATAAAAGAAAACAAAGAAGGAAGGAAGGAAGGAAGGAAGTAGAGGCTCTGAGATCTACAACTGTCCAAGATAAATAACTGAGCAAATGATTGTCTATGAGCAAAACTCCATGACATTTCTATAATAAAAGCAAAGTGACAGCATAAACGTATGGTTTTTATAAACCTTATACTGTACATGGATCCAAGGCACATGGAAAGACTGATAAATGGACATCAGGGGCATTACAAATATGAACACATTTTTCACTAAATCAATCAATTAGACTTCTACACTCACCAGGGTTCTTGATCCCAGACTGGAGCTTCTCAGAGATTCAAGTTCTTCTGTCATCTTAGAAGCTAAAGCCTGAAGATAACCACGTGCATCTTTCTCATCACTCACCCTGGAGTGTGGGCATAAGAATCACATTGTGATAACGCTAGATACACAGCAAAGCTTACATAAAGTAGCATTTTATTGCTAATCCTGAGGTTTCTGAATCACAGTATTTAATTTTTTGGCTAGTTTTTTCATCTTCTAGCTTTGGTTTTGAAACCACCGGAGATAGCCAGGGTACACTTTTCCTTATAGCTGGCATACTATATCCAGTATGGATATGCCTCAGGGCTGGCATATTATATTCAGTCATGGAAAACGGCTCCATTTCTATAGGTCTTCCAATGGCCATAGCTTTTTAAATAATAATAAATGTAACAATCGCTTAGTTCATAGTCTGGAATTAAGACAGTGATTTTCAACTTAATTCAACTTATAACCTGCTTTACTCCAAGCAGCTTATATATAGTTCCAAGACAGTTTCTCATTGCTACCGTTGGTAACAGACAATTCTTTAACATTTTTCTGCATGGTAGCACTTCTGACATGAGGGTATTTTGGTTTTACTACAAGTCAATATGGGGCACTGAGGCTGTCTTAAGGGAAAAGCAGTTCACATGGAAGGAGGAAGTCCTTCCAGTAGCAACATCTCAAGCAATTTGAGTTTTAAGGATGATAACCGGAACTTGGGAGTCCTACTTGGAAACAAAATGGCAGCCAGAACAGCTGAAACTGCAGGAAAGTCACATGATCCCATTCCTCTGACTTGGTCAAAATTCTAGCACTGGCATTCTTCACTAACTCCAGTATTCAGGGGCAGTACCATACAAAGTGTATTAAACAGTACTCAAATTAAGGTGTAACTCATGCATGTTAGGCCCACGATCAAGTCTGAGCATGTTGGGAATTAGCACAGCTGGTATTTCAGACAAACCTTGGCAAAAGGTTACAGTTTGGCCACAACCAGTCCCTGAGCATTAAATACTAAAGTTGGGACCAGGATAATTCCTATTCACAAACCATATAAGCTGGGGTGGATTAGTTCAGCAACCCAAGTTCAGCAGGCTGTACCTGGCCATTTTTCAAAACCAGAAGACCAACTGCATAATTTTTCTAAAAGCCAGTTTGAGTCTACAAGAGGTTTGGGTCTTCAAAAAGATACTCTGAATGGCTAACTGTGTTGCCCTCAACAAGAGGAGCTTCTCATGTCAAACTGACTGTCCTACCTTGGAATTATGGAAGAACATCATTTCTTGCCTCAGAGGGACTACTAACATAGCAAGAAAAGTTAATGTAGGCCAGCGATGGCAAACCTATGGCATGCGTGCCACAGCTGGCACACAGAGCCCTTTTTGCGGGCACGCGAGCCATAAGTCGCCGGATTGCTACTCCCCCTCGCCCTGCAGCCAAACCTCAAGAGGTGGCTGCAGCTGGTCGAAGTGCTGGCACTTTGACAGGCAGTGGGCCAGGATCCAGAGCAGCTGGCACTGGCGACAGATCTGGAGTGGGATCTCGAGACACCTCTGTGCCCGCGATTCCCCCTTCTGCTGCCACTTCTGATTACGCCACCGCCATTTCCGCCACCACCATGGCCCGCTGCCCACTGGGTTTTTCTTTTCTTTTCCTTTCTTCAGTTTGGGCATTTGGGCCCAAAAACGTTTGCTGCCACTGCTGTAGGCTGGATAAACATGAAACAGTAGGGACTATGACACCATTCTGCAACTCCCTCCTCTTGGTATCCATGCCATAACAGCCTTCAAATAGGACTTTTTAAAAATGAAATGCTGGCATAGTAAAGAACAGTTAATATTAAGTAATTTCTAAATGCACACTTAGCTTTTGACAAAGAAGATCAATAAAGCTCACGTAACAGTATACAATCAAGTAATGCACATGGCTGTGTATCCATGGAGTGCATCATCTGCAAGATGGCACATTTATGTTCTCTGGAAGAGTTCCTTCTTTAATAAGGCTCTAGTGTATTTTTCAAGGAATCCCCCAATAACACATACCACTGAATAATTTCTGCAATCTGAGCTTCCCAGTGGGCCACAGATTCCTTCTTTGCTGCCAAATCCTGAAGTTCATCTTCTAGCTGCCTATTTTGCGATGTGAGTTTATCCACAAAGGAACAAAGCTGAAATGAGACAGTTGGTAGCTTTCACAATTACAGTTTAATGCAATCAATGTGCATAATCCCCACTCCAATGAACACTTCAGGCCATCTTCCAAGCAACTAAAATAAAGAAGCCGTGTACCTGTACATGCAAATGTGTAAGAAATATGCTAGGAAAAAAGATCACTTAACCCTAGTGTTGAAGACAGAAATTATTTGTCAAGAACAAAAGAAAAAGAAAAAACTAAGATAAAAATCTTTGTGGCACCTTAAGGATTATCTGCTATATTTTAATGTGAGCTTTCATGGATAAGTCCACGTCCTCAGACATGTCCACGAAAGCTCACATATACTGTAGCAATTAGTCTTAAAGGTATTTTTTAATTTTTCTTTTGTTTCTGCCTGATAATGAAATTATTTACTTATTGTTCAGTGCAATCCTATAAAACCTTCCCATCCAGTGTGTGTGGGGTAGGGGGAATGATTTCCCCTGCAACTGCCTTGCATACTCTAAACAGGATAAAAGATCTGGGTAACTCTCTAGGGCAGATATTGGGTGTGTGTGTGTGCATATGGGAGAAACAGAAAAAATGGAAAGCCATTTGGTCATAAAGATGTCTGAATGCCAAACACTGGCATTTGCCCCTTGAGTTGGCTTTTAGGAGAAGAGGAGGTAGAAAACTCTTTTTTATGCAATATGTATATGTTACTATACTCAGTGAAAACTATTTTATAATATATAGTTGTAATAGGTAAAGGTTTCCCTTGACATTTAGTCCAGTCGTGTCCAACTCTAGGGCACAGTGCTTATCCTCGTCTCCAAGCTGTAGAGCCAGCGTTTGTCCGTAGAGTTTCCATGGTCACGTGGCCAGCGTGAGTAGACATGGAATGCTGTTAACAGTAGTATTACATGTTACTTTCTCTTATGTTATCTCAATTACCTTTTCATTTTCAGTTGTTATTTTCTTGTTCTCTTCAAAAAGCATAGTTCTTTCTCGCTCATATTTTTCTTTCAGAGTTCCCACTGCTTCTTCCATTTCACTGTGCCTGTACACAAAGCAGGATGAAATAAACACAATTATTTCACAGAAAAAGGACATCAGTTAAGATCTATTGATAGAAATGGGTGAATATATTTTAATTTTTGGATCGCACATCTTTTGGGGCGGGAAGGAGTTGCTCATGGAACTTACTTCTCTCGTTTTGCCTTATCCAATTTATCTTTTAACATCATGACCTCTTTCTGAAGTGCTAGTTGGTGGCTTTCTAAATCATGCACCTCCTTTTTCACATTTTTTACTTCCAAGACATGGGAGGCTTCTCGTCTGACTAGCTCCTCTTCGTAAAACAAAATTTTCTTCTCAAGCTCTGACTTTATTTTGGCCAGCTCCTGCTGATGCTCCTGCATGGCCATTCCTGCAGCACGGCCTCCCTGTTTTACCTGTGAGAGTGGATAAAATATCTCAAGTCATTAAAACATTAGGAACTATTCCTAATACTAGAAGAGGCTATCATGGTCTAGAGATAAATTGATCTTTGTATAGCTAGGAGACTGTCCCTTTCCTTTCTGGCCCACTTAAATACAGTGGTGCCCCGCTAGATGCTTTCCCCGCATGACGACGAAATCACTTGACGATGACTTTTTTGAGATGGCTATAGGGGAAATGGAAAAGACAATTCAAATCTTATTTTCATTAGGCCAGAAGGGCGGGGCATCAATCAATCAATCAATCAATCAATCAATCAATCAATCAAATAAATAAATATCAAAACTAAACTGTACTGTTGTAGCTACATAAAATGCTTCATTCATAATTTAGCTCGGATATGAAATTGTGTTACTTGGAGTAATTGCAAAATTTAAAAACGCAGACTTCATTTTGTTTGGACAAGGTTACACTACAGTATATAATACGGAAGAAGCTGAAAACTGGCACATCCCATGCACTGCATGCCATGAAGAGTGAAGGCCATCCACCCCTTATATTTTCAGATGGCAGAACTAGGTGCACAAAATACCTTTTGGTTTTGCATGCTCCTTATGGTTATACTATGGACAAGAATTATTGTCTTCTAAGCTCATGAACTGCCTTACATACGCATCTTCCATTCCGGACATTATGGATGCATAAAACCTTCTATTAAGTAGTATTCATTTGTTCCGAAAAGAGAGGAAAGATTTAATCAGTAAGTTTCCAGTTTTTCCACTGAAAAATTCATAGTTTTTCCTTGGAAAATACAGTTTTTGCCCCAATTATCCATTTGCTCAACTTCCTGGGCATTCATATTTCCAAAAGGGCGAAATGGCATGTTTGAATGTTCCTGTCCCCTGTGAAGGGTTTTAGACCTGCCTTATCATTATTATTGTCATAGTAACTTTTCATTAGAAGGGAAGCCATCTAATCACCAACACCATATGAACGCAGAGCATTTACTTTTTGAAGTGTTACAAACCAAAAACAAATATTATTGATTATCAACACTTTATCTGATTATCTCTTCCCTATTTATGAAAATTATTTTCCCCAGACTTTGCAAAGATTCCGGTAGAAATATAACTTGAAAGTTTCATGGCTGTGCATGCTTTGATTTGTTTTAAAAATTATGCAACCACAAGCCTACTGGCTGTTTACACCTCCATACATGAAATTACATGAGTCGTAGCAGGAAATTGGTAAATAACAATGTGCTGGCTGCATTACTGGTTGTGTTTCAGGCACACAATCAGGCATGCAGCTAGCATCTTATTAATTAGAAGCAATTCACTTGCTCGACTAATGTGACTAAGTCATCTTTCAAATTATATTTACAAATGCATAAATCACCAATGATATTCTGGTCTGTATTTTATTCAGATATTCTCATTTGCCCTGATGTCCTGGAGCGGTAAGCAATAATAATGACAATGACATCATCAACATGAAAGCTAAAGGGAGGAAGAAAACACAAGCTCTGTAGTATGAGGAGAGTAAAACCATTTAGGAAAAGAAACTTACTGATATCTTTATTTTTATTTATTTAAAATATTAATTAAATCAGGATACACCCTTCTAAGACAGCCCACATGAAAGGAAGGAAGGAATGACTTTGCTCCGAGTTAGTGACTAGGAAAACAGCTGCCTTTTTGTGTAGTTACTATTATCCTACTGCTGTTCTGAACTACAGAGCAAACCCACATAATCACTTGCTGAATAATAAACATGTTCCTAAGGCCTTTTGGCTCAATGGGTCTATTCTAGTTGGTACTTGCAGAGGACCAGTATGCTACATCCATTCCCATGACAATCTATTGTGTGGTTTGTCAGGTTTTCTCCATTCACCCATATGACAAGCCTTAACATACAGAATGCCTGTCCAGAGTAGATGAAATGTAAGTCTATGCACTGTGAGGGTTTAACATATACTGATGGGAGCATTCCCATCCATCCTAAAGACATTTTGTTGGACTGCCTAATACGTGCAATTGACCACAGACTGAACATACATGCTACAGAACAAACCTTACATGACGAGCTAGTTGTCTACATTGATTATTCCAACATGTATTGTTTAGGAGACAGATGATCTGCAACTGTCAGATAGCATGCACTGTTAGCTGAGCTTTCTAGTTCTTGACCAAGGAAAGGCATTATCATATATTTAGAATTGTTAAAAGGAAAAGAAAAACTGTCACCTTTAGTGTTTCCAGTTCATTTTCCAGCTGTTTACAGAAAATCTCACTGTGTTCTCGAAGCTTGTGCTCTTTTGATGCTTCTGCTAGTGCATCATCAAGTTGGGTTTCTAGCTATAAAAAGATAAACAGGTCTAATTATTGTAAAGCAATATCTAAACTGTTATTTTCATTTCTAGATCATCCACAAGCTCTAGTAACTGTATAAAACATAACAATGAGATGCAAACCTAATCTTAAATCTTACAATGTAGATTATAAGATTCATATAGAAAAGAAAGTGGAAGGTTAAAAAAGCAGATGCACAAGATCAGATATCTATACTGGATTCCAATATCAGCAAATTTCAAAAGAGTGACCCTCTCTTTGGCTCATCTTCACTCTCATGGGCCCCTGTCATGATTTATCCATCCCACTGAGATCTAGATATTTTTGTAGCCAACTGATATTTCTGTAGCTACTCCCCTTCCCAAGAAAAAGTTACTTAAAAAAAGAGGAAACATTGAATGAAATACCAAAAGAGGAATCTGGATATATGTAGATAACATTAATATAATTGGTATCTTTATGACAAATTAATGATTTGGACAAAGACTGGCACTTTTGGCTCTCTTACTCCCTTGCTTGCTTTTTCTCTTTTACAGGAAAGTAAAAGAAAGAGATGAAAACAGTAAGGCTGTTTAAGGCTTACTATGATTCAGAAAGTGATAGTGTGGTTCCAGAAATTAGAGTGCAGGACGTATGCAGGAGTTGTTCCAACATTATATTTTTCTACATAACCCTAAAGTATATAGGTGATTCGAAAGGTGCTTCACAAAAAGAATACACGACGCCAGAAGGCCTGAACCACCGTAACTATTTCAAGCCAAAATAACAGCCGAAATCCATTATTGTCAAGTACCCTGGTGAGCTACCTCTTTTCTCGCTTTCTCAGATTTACGGATTTCCTGTCTCATGGAGTCAATTTTCTGCATGATCACTTCCACTTCTTCCTCTTTGTCACGGAGCTGTCGAGAGAGTTTCTGCTTCTGAGAGCGCAAGTCTACCATCCGCTCGTTCAGGTCTGAGAACTCCTGCATGGCTAGCTTTCTTTGTTGATGGGCATCCTTTAGTTCTTTGGACTGTGCCTTTAATCTTTCGGATGCTTCAATGAGTTGCTGGTGAAAAGAAAAGGCCGAACAATGTTTAGAATTGCCATCTGAGCATGAGGATAAATCTTTTTTTAACGCCAAATGGAACTTCAGAAACATGCACACATACATATTACAGCTTGGCAATGTATGGGTCCAGACTCTGCTTAACCAATCCTCCTGTCCTCAATATAATGAACAGCATTTTGACAGCACATGGATAGCAACATTTATACATCACCAAGTCAATACTCGGATATACTTCCTATTACTTTCCTCCTCTCTTTCATGTTTCTTTTTTACATCTCTTCATCACTTTTAAAACTCTACTTCAGCATCACCATGCTACTTCTTTCCATCCTCCTCACCTTTTCTTCATTCCTGCTCTTCCCTTCCATCCTTCCTGCCTTCCATTATCATTCTTACCTCCCACCTTTCTATCTCTTTGTGTTCCTGATGCAAATCCATACCCCTTTCCTTGAAAGTGAATGAACAACCCAGAAAACACAATGTTAATCCCATGACTGCTGATATTTTGGAGTGGCCACCTGCATTTTCTGGGGCTCCTATCCAGCCTAAGGAGCAAAGTGGGGACTCAAGCTCAGGCTCCTGCTATAATTCCAAGAAGAAGGGCAACAGCTTCCAAGAGACAAAATACAGTTAAACACCACAGGGAAAAAGAGCTGATTATGGCTAGTGACTAAAAACCTCTCTAGAGATTACCCCAGGGAGCTGAGCAGCTCTTCAGCAGCAATCTCCTCCTTCCACATAGAAAAGGGCCTGGGAATAACTTGGTGTAGCTGAACACAAAAACCATTCAATCAGCCATTTGGATTTTTTTGCGTTGCAGGAATGTCGCTCTTGTTTCTCAGGATTGTTTCTTCGCCCCCCCCGCCCTAAATAGGGCTACAATTAAGTATCATACAGTTTTGTCTTTGTATGCATACCCAGAGTAACTATCTGCCAAATATGATTCTAAACCTGAAAGTCACAAAGGAAAAAAAAAAACAATGGTGGAAGAGGCATGAGTTACTGTTATTTAGTTCATTGTAGTACTTGAAGGTACACCCAAACAGTTGCTTTGTTATGTTCAGGGAGTGGCGCCTACCATCCAGAAGGAGATGGTGGTGGTCTCTTTCCTTAAGAGTATTTTCTTGGATTCAGAGATACACAAGAAGTACTGTCTCACAGCAAACATTTCACATTGGACAATGGTGTCTGGGCAGCTTTGGACATTCTGAGAGGAAAATAATTATCTAGATGAGTAGTTCCCACTGCCATGAATGACTCCCTGAAGCCGCTGCCAGCACAGCTAGTGGTGAAGGCTTCTGGGAGTTGCAGTACAAGAATGTCTGGGACCCTAGGTTGGGAACCACCATTTCAGCAGGCACCACATCCTGCTCCTGCTTTGTTTTGTTGCCATAGCATGCCCATGTCTCAGGGCTGAGTGAATGGGGGAAAAGTGTCATTTTCCCCAAGTACCGATTGATCTAGATCCTTTTCAGACTCGTTTCAGCCTAGGTTCTGGAACTAAAACAGCTTTGGTCCCTTTGGTGGATGATCTCCTCCAGGACAGAAACTGGGGGCATGGTGCTACCCTGCTGATTGTCCTGGATTTCTCTGCAGCTTTCGATATAACCAGCCATAATACCCCATTAGAGTGGCTCTGTGCGATGGGAGTTGGAGACAATTTGCTACAGCCGTCCCATTGCTACTTCCAGGGTCCATTACAAAGACTGGTATTCAGAGATTGTTGTTTAGTCACGTGGTTAATTAAGGGGGTAGCACAAGGCTAATGCTCTTTTACAACTACTGGGTGAGGTTATCTGGGGTTCTGGAGGTGGGCACCACCAGTATGCAGATGATATCCAACTCTATTTCCTCTGTAACTAGAGTCAAGCAAGGTTGTGCAGGTACTAGGCCAGTGTTTGGACAGTGTTATAAGCTTGGTGAAAGCAAATGAATGGAAGGTGAATCCCAGGATCATAGAAATTCTGTTGTTCTGGAGGAAGCTGAACTTTCTCTGAAGGATATATCTGTATTCGTGGAAGCTCAGGTAGACTTGGTGCATTGGCTACAACCATTTCTAGTCAGGGCCAATGCAGCCAGAATAGTTAATGCACTGTTAACACATTAATTAGATTTCTGCTATTGATTGCATGTGGGGCTGCCTTTGAAAATGACAGCAAGTACAACATGCCACAGAATTCTGGCAGCAGAATCCAAGATATTGACAATGACTTTTAAAGCTCAAAGTAGAATAGGATATAAACACTTGAAAGATCCTCTCTTCTACCTATGTCTGCCTGATAATTAAGATCCACTGAGGGCCCTCTTTACTGGCTCACAGTTGAGACTGCTAAATTATATAACAACGAGACTATTTCTTGGCTATAGCAACCTGTCTGGAATGCCTTCATCTTAGAGGGCTGAATGGTGCCAACAAAGCCTTAATTTCAGTACAAGTTAAACCCTAGTTGTTCGCTCAAGATTTGGCCATTAGAGACATCACAGTTTACTCCTCAATCTTCCCGCTGGTTTTCTTCCTCTCCTTAATCATTCTAACAGTTCAGTTTTGAAATATTTTAATTATCTTAAAGCATTTAAATAGTTTTGGTTTCTCTAAATTGGATCTACGGATTGCATCCTATCTCGAGACCTTTTAATATAGGGTGAGTTAGAAATACACAAAATGCCCAGTTTTCAGCATTGTATATGCCAGCCTTCCCAGGTGGGAAAGCATCAGCAGCTTTCCCACCTGGACCGGTTTAACTTCCATTTTAGTCTGGGCAGCTTGTGAACTACTAAAGCAAGTATCCCATATTGGATAAAGGAATATTAGATTTGGACCAGCACATTCTTGTTTTTATTTACTCATGCTGATTTGAGCATGTTAATGTTTTTCAGGCTAACGTTCCTCACATCAGGACTGTAAAGAGAGGATGGGAGGGTGGAGAGAGCATTATTTATACTACTGTGAGGTTGATGAAGAAAAAATTAGGATTGAAGCATTGCAATTATTTGTGGACACCCCTCCCAAACTTGATCATGCTGTGTTCTGCACATGTACCTCCTAGGGAGAATGCTTGTATCTCATTGAAACTGAAGAATTTCCCATATTTAATACCTTATGGAGATCCTCCTTCTCTTGCCTCAGCATCCTGCACTGTTTTTCAAGGGCTTTCAACCTATGGGTAGAGTCTTCATGCTCCTGCCGCAATGCCACTGCGTCTTCGAGCTGTCGTTCTAGCCTATTTGAATCTACAAAACCAAAAAAGGACTCTTTTACAGTATTTTCAGAGGCACAAAAAGCAATTCTACATTCTTCTCTGTTACGGAGAACAATTTCAGCTGGATAATCCAGAACAAACTCTTATCAATGTTCCCTCTTAAATCAACACACACTGGTAGAAGCCTAGCGTCAGAGCTCAGTCAACACTATGGCCAAATTTAAAATGAAAATTTAAATTCTGCTTCAAGGTTATTGAGATGCCAGGACCAAAGAAACGGGAGTTCAAGAGGCAGAATAAATTATGCAATGTAAGCATTGTTTTTTTAATTTTTATGTTTGCCATGTGAATGTTTCATAACGTTGATTCTACCTCCAAAGTTCATGTTTCCAAAGCCTGGGATCCAAAAAGCTACTTCATGCTTGCTATAATTATCTTCTTTTAAACAGCAAAGACTGTAAGCTGTCCTTGAAATAACTCTTAGCTTAGAAAGCAAATTTTCATGTGACCTAGGACACTATCACTAAAAAGACACATAAGTCCATCACCATTCTGTTTGTGCAGATCCGACAGTAGTTTGTGGGCTTTCCTCTGAAATATATGGGGTATTTTTGGCAAGGAAAAGGAAGGCAGACAGGAATGCTGAGGCCAGATAAGGATTGCAGGCTGAGAGGCCACAGGATGGAAATGAAGCTACACTGGGCAATGTAGGCCCAACCCCTGTTGACTCAAGTCTTACATAATCTTCCTATCACCAGAGAAATTTCCTCAAACATTGCTTGCTTACCTCCAAGCTAAAATGAGTTCAGCTAATATGAAAGGGTTGGAAATCCTTTGTAGGGGGGAAAAATCAGAAGAGAACAGGAGAAAAGAACTGATCAGATAAATAATCTAATTCTAGTGTAATTTATTATATACAGCATAAGAGAGTGAAAAACTTCATTAAAAATGCATTTATGCTGACGCTTTTTGTTCTGTAAATGTTTCTGAATGCTCAGTGTTCTAGACCTTGAATACTGTAATCAAAAAGAAAGCAAAGACAATGCTGGTTCTCTAAATAAATAAAGTTTGCTCATTTATATCCCACCTTTGGTTGAAAATTTCTGCTTGCTGACTGCATTCAGATCACAGTGGATCTTCCAAATTAGTGGGAGAAAACATATTTTTAACCCCATTCAGCAAGGAAATATGAATTACCTCAGCTGAAAATATCTCATACACTCAATAACTTGTCAAAAAAAGAAAGAAACAAGACACGGGCTTGTAAATAACAGTCACCACCTGTAATGCAGCTTATCCAAAAGCACTTACAGTACTTTACACAGCAGACTCACCAGCAACTTTTGTTCTAAGGGACTGATCTACTACCCTGTTTCCCTGAAAATAGGACCTAACCTGAAAATAAGCCCTAGTATGATTTTTCAGGATGCTTGTAATATGAGCCCTACCCCCAAAATAAGTCCCAATTAAGTGAAACCTGACCCCCATCATTGTGCAGCAACCAGAAGATGACATGACTGTATTTGAATAAATGTAGATTGTTGTACAAGAAAAAAACAAAACATCCCCTGAAAATAAGCCCTAATGCATTTTTTGGAGCAAACATTAATATAAGACCCTATCTTATTTTCGGGGAAAGACGGTATTATCCCTTTCCATCCTGTTACTTTGCATCCAGCAACACATACATGTAAAAGTCTAAGACACTACTTGAATAGTACTGCCATTTCCAAATGACTGACAGATACATGTGATCCACGATGTCTCTACCTCAATTCTCAACCCTACTAATTCAGTGAGGTATGAAATAAACCACTCTTTCTCAGAATAACCCCCCGCCCCAAAATCTGGAATTAAGCCTCTGATCATCTTCACTTTGGGGAAAAAAATCTCCCCCATTATTGGATGTACAGACCACAATGTATGGCGGAAGGATCAGCTCCTTCAGCTGCTTAGAGCTGCCAATCTGTTGCCATTTGCTGCTATGAGGAGAGCAGATAGAGAGACCGGAAAAAGATCTTAAGCCACAGCAGCACTTAGTACACAGTGCTAGATAGAGGAACATGGGTGCATTTGGTGGGGAAATGAGAGAGGGTCTTCTCTGTTGCTGCTCCCAAACTTTGGAGGCCACGCTAGCCTTGTCTTTCCTGTCTTTCTGCAAGCAGACAAAGATCTCTGTCTTCTTTAGTGACCAACTGTCTAAGAGGTTTTTTTAATGGGATTGTTTGAGTCTGGGGTTTTATTTTGTTTTTAATATGTTTTAGTGCTGTTTTTAATCTACTAGCTTTAATATTATATTTGTTTCATTTCGAAAATATGACAAGAGTGGCCTTGGTAGCCAGATGCGTGGTATAAAAATCAACCAACCAACCAAATAAATAAATCACTTGATTCTGGACCTGTGATGTAAAAATTTCTATTTGCTGCTTCCACTGCTGCTGCTGCACAAACAGTAGAAGCCAGACAGAGCATCATGTTTTCAATTGTCTCTCCTTCCAACAGATGAATTTCATTACTTGATGTGGTGAGCAGTTCTAAACTGCAGAAATGAAGCCAAGGACAAACTGCAGCAATGCCACTCTGCCTAGCCTATACAGTGGACCCTCTACTTACGGAATTAATCCGTATTGGAACGGTGGCTGCAGGTCGAAAAGTCTGTAGGTCGAGTCTCCATTGACCTACAATGCATTGAAAACCGATTAATCCTGTAACCGGCCATTTTTGTTCCATTTTTGTTCCATTTTGGCTTTTTTCAGGTCTGTAGGTCGATTCTCTGGCTGCAAGTCGAACCTAAATTTTGAGGCCAGAGAAGTCTGTAACTTCAAAAGTCTGTAGTAAGTCGAGCCGTCTGTAAGTCGAGAGTCCACTGTAGCTCTGACCAAACTTCCGAGCTAGCTAATAGCCATCATTTCATTTGCCATACATAAAATGTGACACATGAAGAACATTACATAATTTTAAAAGGTTTTAATGTGACCCTTGTTCACTTTGTGTCCTTCTCCAGTCAGCTCAGAAGCTCTTGTTTGGCATTTTAACTACAGTACCACCTAAAAAACTGAGTCAAAGAGGGGACCCACAGAGCCACATGAGTTTTGCCCCCAATGATCCCCAGTTTCATCGCCCTCCTACAGATGAAGAGTGATGAATCAGAAGTGGAAGTTACCTATCATCTGTAGACATTTGCCATGTGAATCAGAGCACTGACTTCCTTGAGTTCTGACTGGTTGGGAAATCACCACTGATAATGGAACTTGTCCCTCTTTAGATTCACTGCCCTCCAAATATGGGAGGTAACAGAAATTATAACAGAGGGAGTGGAGCGACAGTACTCCCCTTGTTGCACAAGCTTTTTGCATGGATAATAACACCTTAATACAACTTAATTCCTTCAAACAAGGAATATCCCTGCTTGCTTGCTTGTTTTATATACTGCCTTTCTCCCTATAGGGGACCCAAGGCAGCTCACAACAATTAAAACAATTATAATCGTCATCGTCATCACCAAAACAACTGAACACATATTTAGAAGGATAAGATTAAAAGCCATTTTAAAATATTTTGAAAAACATTTTAAAATCTGTAAGGTTTTTGAATAGATTCTGGACAGTTAATTAAAAGGGCTGCAAAAGGGAGTCACTGATTATGAAAACCTGACATGTACAGATTACTAATGGTGTAATGAAAGATTAAGGGTTTTTAAGTATTGTGAATAAATACAGGTCTGGACAAAGTAACTGGTGTCTTGCATTCCATCCTATCTTACACAGATATCATGAAAGAGTGAAACATGGTACAGTTCTAAAAAATTCTTAATGAAAGACATTTGCATCACATCCTACAGATAAATCTTTCCCTTCTCTGGGAAACAGCAAGATTAAGAGAATAAGATATCGTGGGATATTAATGGAAACTGAAGAAGTGAAAAGGACTATCTAAATGAGCCTGTATAAACGGCTTGGATCCCTGGTGAGAATAATCTGCTACCAAACTGAGGAAGCATTAGGAGCCAGATAAGCTTTTGTCAAACAAACAAAAAATAAATCTAGATGTTGCTTCATGTTGTAGATGCCATACTCTCAAAAGCTGCCGTTAGAATGAAATTTTTCATTTGTTTATACCAGGGGCCTCCAAACTTTTCAGCAGGAGGACCACATCATATATGCTCCACATTTTTACAGCCAAAGGAAGATACACGCTGTGATGGACAGGTCAGTAATCACTCCTTTCCATCACAATAGAACCTTGATATATCAACCAATGGTTAAACAAAAGAGGCAGAACTAAGGATATATAGGAGAAATGGAAGACAGTAAAAGATCAGTTAGGGATGAATTAGGGATATGAGTTAGAGTCAGAGACTTCAGTTAGGGATATCAGTTAGAGAGAAGCAGTTTAGACAGTTAGGACCAACCTTGTGTTAAAGAAGAATAAGATACAGAACAAGATAAGAAATGAATACCTTGATTAACATGATTATACATAAGCAAATATAAATGTTATCAAAGCACAGTTGATTGAATGAATAAAATAAGACCATCCATGATTTACTTTTTATGATTTACATATAAACACTTAAATAAACATTATTATTGAATAACACTGATTTAAGGGTCATATTTAATATAGTGAGGAATAACTCCTCTGGTGGCAGCGGAAAGGGTTGAAAAGTAAATGTCATACCCGAACCTGGGTATGACATTTAATATCCCACGATATCTTATTCTCTTAATCTTGCTGTTTCCCAGAGAAGGGAAAGATTTATCTGTAGGATGTGATGCAAATGTCTTTCATTAACAATTGTGTGGAAGAACAAACAGGAGAACTGGGGGTGTATGACACACGCGTATGTGCATATGTGGTCCCACACTCCCGCCTGCCCTCCCATACTCCCGCACGCCTGCACTCCCACACATGCACGACTGACCACGCCTGCATGCCTGATCGACTGCACACTGGGCTGGATAAAAAGGCAAGGCAGGCCAGATGTGGCCCATGGGCCATAGTTTGGAGACCACTGGTTTATACAATGAACTGTCTTGGTATCCATATGAAAGACCCAACAGTGAAATGAACAAGGATCACCTTTAAGCATGTTATGAGGATTAGGGCATGAGCACTGGAATTATTCTGTACTTCTTCCAAGCCCTGGGAAAAATCTATTTAAATACATCAGATACATACCTGCTATTTTGTTTTTCAAACGCTCTATTTCCTCATTTAACTTCTTTATTTCTTTATCTCGGTTTGTATTTGCTGTTATGCGACCAGAACCATGAAGAGACTGAACAGCCTGGGTGGATTCTTAAATTCAAAGAGAAACACAGTGTTTAGCCATAGCTAGCATATTCTGTTGCTACATCACATGCAGGTAAAAGGAAACAAAGAATGCATACCTTGCAACTTTCTGCTTAGTTCCATCTTTTCCTGTTCTAGTCTTCGTATTCTTCTTTCATAGGCCTCTATTTGCAAGCTGTTTTCCAGGTCACGCTGAACGTCCTCATCTTTAGTTATCCCACTGGACTGCATCACACTTTTTAAAGAGCCTCTATCAGAAAAACAGCTGGAACCCCAAAACACATTTTTAATTAACAACTGCAACAGTCCTTACTAAAAATTCAATGAGACTAATATCCATTACGGCTTCAACACTGCCTGACCTGGATGGCAAATAAAATGGCAGTCTGCTCTCTTTCACTCTAGACTGCATAGCCAATCTCATCAGGAAAGCAGCAACACACTCAACTTCAAAATCTTTGGAGAGCAATGGCTAAATTCAATGTTCTGCTGCCACAGAACTTTCTTCCAATTTCCTGCATCCACCAAACCACATGAAAACTTGACTCTAGAGGGCTTTTCAGACATGCAGAAATGATTATGGCTAGTAGGGAGAGGCTATCAACTTTAAACATATTCCACAAACATCCATTATTTTCCTGGTGGAAGTCTGACCCTCTTCTACTCTTGAGCATGAAACCAATTTCAGGCTTTTCACCTATGCTTTATCCTTGAATTTTTTTTAAAATATGGATAGTTCTTCCCAGGAGGGACAGGTTGGCAGCCCTTTGGAGGGGAAACAAGGAGCAAAGAAAATAGTGTTTGAGGCTACATCTCTCTGAATCTCCCAGCCAGCCCAATGGCTTGAATCACTCCTTGGTGAGCCTAGGAGTTCTCATCCTTATTCAACCAGGATCTCCCTGGCTCTCAGCAATATGCTTAAAAGAGAGGCAACTAGCCATCCTCACAATTGCTGTTTTCTCCATGTGGAGGGGAAGTGGATCCTGCTTGCAAACAGGCTCTACACACAAGCTAGAAACTTGGAAAATTGGTGTTCTCATCTGTAGGTGTGTTCTCATGCTTCTCTCTAAGTATGCTGCAGAGAACCCAAGTCATCACAACAGACTATGACTACAGTCTTTAAAAAAGCGATAAAGAGATACTTTCCCACATGATGGGAAGCAAGGACATCACAATACAGTATAAGCTTTACATCAAAAGGGCTCTGGTTCACCTTCCAGGCTCTGCAATTAAAAGTGTAACTAGAAAAAAGTCTACTCCAAATGTTCATGAGCAACTGCCAGTCCCAACAGAGAATACTTCACTTGAGAGATCAGTGACTTGACTGTGCTTCTTATTTTTAACTTGACACTATCATTTACAACGATGATAGCAACTAGATATGGAATATCAGCACCAGAGGTGCCTGGGAAAACTGGACCTTCTCCCCCAAAATGGCAAGTCCACTCACCACTTGCCAGACACACAGCTGGTGTAGTTCTTGTCACGTCAATTGGCCGGTGCTACCCCACCTCCCTGAACATGTGACCACTCAACAGCTGAGTAGGGAGACTTGCTGGAGTGGTCAGCTGTATAGGGAGACAGGGAAGCACCAGCCGGGCTGCTTCCTAGATTGGTGTGGTAAGCGGTAAGTGGACCTGCTAGTCTGGGGGAAAGGGTCCAGTTTTCTCAGGCACCTGTGGTGCCAATATTCATATTCATATCCCCAGAGATACGAATACAAACACAAAGATCCCATGTCTAATAGCAGTCTGTCAATGCCCTTTACTCCATTCCACTTTCACCATGAAGAAGACACTCACTCAATATTCCCATCACTACAAATATTTGTTCCTTTAAAATATTGTACATAACAAATAAACACTAAGAGAGTTAGTCCATCACCCAACCACTATCACTGTGAGTGCTTGGTGGAGGAAAGAATATTAGACTCATGGGGGTGTGGAGTGGGGTGGCAAAACTGCATTTATATAATCATTCAGCCATAAAAGTTCATTGTGCGGCACTGGGTCTGCCATTAATCCTCAGGCCACAAAACTAGACATAGATATAGTGAAGATAAAATTGTGTGTTGGTACATTATGTAAGGTGGCTGAGCTTGATGTGGCACATGCAGGATAAAAGGATAGGTAACTAAGCAAGAAATAGAAAACTGCAGGCAAAGCCAACAGCAGGGCCTGCTTCAGTTGGCCTGTGCTTTTTCTGTTGCTGGGCCAATGGACTCCAGTTATTTTGGGGGAACATTAGCTGTTGTCTCCTGGTTCAGTGAAGCTGGTGGTGTAGATCTGTGCTGTCTTGTGTTCAAGCATGTTCTTCCGGCTCTTTGCCATTCATCACATTTTCTAAAATACTGAACCCACTTTGAGAACAAGCCAAAAAGTTGCATAGAAATCTACCAAACAAATAAACAATGCATAATAAAATCAGCAGCAACCGTCACTTGGAAATCTAAGAAAGCATAACTCAGCTCACCTGAAGGCACACCAGCTAGATAAAATGGCTTCTCTTTGGGCTCAGAGCTAAAACCAAAGCTCAACTCGAAGTGCAGGTATCCAAAATTTAAAGCTTGTTTTATAACATCATTGAATTATAGAGCTGGAAGAGACCTCAATCGTCATAGAGTCCACCCCACTGACAATGCAAAATGGCAATGCAAAAAAATCTACAGCTAAAGCATACCCAATAGATAGGTGGGATAATCTAACTAGTGCTTAAAAATCTCAAAGAAGGAGAATCCACCACCTTTTTGGGCAATCAATTCCATTGCTGAATGACTCTCACTCTTAGGAAGTTCTTCCTAATGTTTAGTCAAAATCTTTTTTTTAACTTGAATCCATTACTTCCATTACTTCTGGTCTTAACTCTTGAGCTGCAAAACACAAACCTGTTCCATTTTCCATGTGACAGCCTTTCACATAATTGAAGGCAGCTATTATATTGCTTTTAAGGGACTCTGTCAAAAGCCTTGCTGAAATCATACACAATATTCCTCTTAGCTACTAAACATGTGACTACAGAATCACAGGTCTAAATCACAAGAGATAAGTCTGGCATGATTTGTTTTTGAATAACCCATATTGAGTCTTGGAAACCACAATTTTGTTTTCTCTTTAATTGGCTCTTAAAGTTGGCTCTTTAATTATCTCTTCCACAACCTTCCTGGCACTGATGTCAAGCTGACCAATCAGTAATTTTTGGATATTCTTTTCCCCTCTTTTAGAAAATGTGGATGACATTTGCTTGCCTCTAGTCTTCAGGCACCTCACCTGTTCTTCAAAGAATTCCTGAAGATTATAGACAGAGGCTCTTAAATTACATCTACAAGGTCCTTTAATATCTTTGGATGGAGTTCATCTGGCCTGGAGACTTAAATTCGCTTAAGGTTACTAGGCACTTCTTTACTATCTCTTTTCTACCTTGGGCAACAGCCCTCTCATTTCCTCCTTTATTCTGCTTGCACCAGGTTCAGCACTGTTCTCCTTTTGTGAGAAAACAGAGAAGAAGTAGGTGTTCAACAGTGATGAGTACTCCAACAATGGAGGCATTCAAGAGAAAACTAGACAACCATCTGTTAGACATACTTTGTTTTGGATTCCTACTCTGAGTACAAGGTTGGATTTTATGGCCTCTTCCAACTCCATTATTCTAAGATTTCATGATTCTGTGTTTGAGTCCTTTCCAGTTCTACATGTCTATGATTCTTCCACTTTGCAGAGAAGGAATCCAAAAATGACAGGGGCTGATTTTCCCTCAGTGGCTTTTGGGGGGGGGGTGGACACAAAAATGTCTTGAGGGACATTCCCAGCATTGAACTACAGGCTGTGAACTCTTTGGGCAGAAGACTGATCTCTTTTTGCGCAAATTACTCTGTAAAGCACCATACATGGTAACAATAACATATAAATAAATCTTAACAAGAAGCAAAGACAAACACAGGAGCTCAAAGGATACACTGTGAACACTGTAAATCTACAAGTCAATAAATTAACAGAAAGGCAAATATAAAAACTGAAACGTGTTTTTTTTAATTTCACCCACCTGTCTGTTGTGTAAGTAAAGCCAACAAAAGGTAAATGCAATCCAGAAAAGCCTGTGTGAGAACTAGGTGGTATCATTTCCTGCAAGAAAATGAGCACAGTATGGGTTCAATCTACAATGGAATGATTTACCAACAAAAAAAAGGAGCCCAATTTACATTTGCTTATTTAGAACTTTTTTCTTTTTTTCTGAGTGTACTGCCCACAAATTACAAGAATTTAAACTGTTATTTTAAATTAAGGTTCTCTCCAACTTTCTTCACACAATTTGTTCACAAGTCATAACATTAAACCATGCTGTATAAGATGCCCCCATGTATAAGACGCCCCCCCACTTTTCTAACCCAAAATTAAGAAATCTGTGGGGCTTAGCTAGTGGAGGGGAAAGCAGGGATCAAAGCCCTGCAGGATCACTTTGATCCCTGCTTCCCCCTCCACTTGTTTTTGTTTTCTCCTCAGCTTACTTCTGTGTATAATACGACCCTTAATTTTTAGTCTAAGGATTTTAGACAAAAGTACAGTGGTGCCTTGCTAGACAATGATAATCCGTTCCACTGAAACTGCTGTTTAGCGAAATCATTGTCTAGCGAAAAGCATTTCCCCATTGGAATGCACTGAAACCTATTTAATGTGTTCCAGTGGGGAAGAATCGTCATTGTCTAGCGAAGATTGGCCATAGGAAAGCCGCTTTGCAAACTGCCGATCAGCTGTTTACATTGCTGTCTTGCGAAGCTTAGGTCCCAAAAACACCTGTTTTGCGAGCGGAGAGGGAGCTGTCAAAATCGTTGTCTAGCGATAATCGGTTTGTGAAGCAGGGACCATACATTGTCCAGCGAAATTCTCCCATAGGAATCACTGTTTTGCGAATCACTATAGCGATCGTAAAAAATCAATGTCTAGCGAAAAAACTGTCATGCGGGGTAACTGTCTAGTGAGGCACCACTGTATAGTCTTATACACGGAAAAATACGGTAGTTTACAGCTAAAATGTGCACTGTTTACCCTATTGTTTCACTTCCACAGCTATACTTTGTAACCTTTTGTTCCACAGATCATGTTTTTCCATGTTTTTTAATCTTTAATATTTCTATACACAGTCTATAGTAGAGAAAAAAAGAGAGAAATCACTTACAGGGTTTCTTAATACATCATCATCTACATCAAAATTTGAAGTGTCTGAAGGACTGCTAACTTCTGGAATGTAAGGTGCTTCTATATTTCGAATATTGTCCCAATTGAGTCCTTCAAAAAACGCATGTGACTTGAAATCTTCAATTCCATTCTGCCCCAAACGACGTTCTCTGCTGCAGATAAGACGCTGAATTAGGTCTTTTGCTTCTTCAGACACATCAGTTACATGAGATGGAAACTGGAATCTCTCCTAAACAAAACAGGAAAAATAAACTGATACAAAAATTTTCTTCTCTACAATGATACACTTTTAAGAAAGTGTTTTGAAATGGGATTACTGTAGGTAGAATATAATGGGAACTATACTATAGTAGTTTTGGTAACAAGAAAGGTACACACACTGTGTCCTGGATTGAGAAATCATAATTTCGGCTACTGCATTCCAGGTGGCTAGAGTACACCTGAGCACGTACAGTGGGGTCTTGACTTGAGAACTTAATTCGTATTGGAAGGCGGTTCTCAAGTCAAAAAGTCTGTAGGTCAAGTCTCCATTGACCTACAGTGCATTGAAAACCGATTAATCCCGTAACAGGCCGTTTTTGTTCCATTTTGGGGTTTTTTCTGGTCTGTAAGTCAATTCTCAGGCTGCAAGTCAAACCTAAATGTTGCGGCCAGAGAAGTCTGTAACTCAAAAAGTCTGTAAGTCAAGCCGTCTGTAAGTCAAGGGTCCACTGTATACAGTGCCTTTTCACTGCACAAGTATAACTATTTGTTCTTCCTCTCCCACACAGGAATATAGAAAAGGGCTTACAGGACAAATAGCAGAAGCCTGACTCAATGCTTTTCTTTAGAAATTAAAAGTTTGGGGCACCCACCTGCCTAGCAAGTTTTTTATACAAGAATGATGGATAGCAATTGAAAACAATGATACTGCAGAAGGGGAAAAGCGCAGAAAAGAAACATTATCAATGGTCTACAGCACCTCCCCTATGAGGAAAGGGTACAACATCTTGGGCTGTTTGGCTCCAAAAAAGTCAAGTATGGGAGGGACACAGCACAAGTGAGAATTAATGCACAACATTTGGAAACTGAGTGCAATATAGAGGAACCAACTTCTGTGACAGCCAAGTTAACAAGGAAAGGCTTAGCTTAAAGAATACTGGAAAAGCACTGCCTCATATAGCAGAGGAGAAAAGAAAAATCACTTACAGGGTTTCTTAATACATCATTATCTACACGACATCAAAATTTGAAGTGTCTGAAGTATGTAAGCTGAAATGCATCATTTTTCCCCTTCCTTTCTCATAATATTAGAAAGCAGGATCATCCAATGAAGCTAAGTGGTGTGAGATTGAGGACAGACAAAGGGAAGGACTTCCTTCATACACTCCACAGCTAAACTACAGAATTCACTACTACAAGATGAGGTGATGGTCACTGACTTAGATGGCTTTCAAAGAAGACTGGGCAAGTAAATGGACAATGAGGTTCCCAGCGGCTCCCAGGCATGATGGCCATACCTCATCTCCAACAGTATGGCTCTCAACTCCAGCTGCTGGAGAACACAAACAGGAGGGTACAACTGCACTCCTATTCTGTTTGTGAGCTATACACAGGCATCTGATTGGTCTGTGGGACCAGAAAAGCTTGTGGTCTGATCCAGCAGAGGTCCTTTTATGTTCTTATGTACCAATCAGAGCAAAATCTAAAATGATGTCATGGGGTTGGAGCCAATTACCTACTACATCCATGAGCAATTGCACTGGGATTACCTGTGTGTACAAGTACAAAATAAAGTTATTTCAAAAGAAAGGATGCTAACATCAGATCAAACCCTCTCTATGATTAGGAGATAACAGACAAAAACACAGTCAAAGGCAACTATTTAGTACATTTCAAGAAGACGGACATAGGCAAAGAAGTTCAAGGACTTCTGCAATATTCCTAACAGAAAATCTTTGTCTCAGTTACAGTATTTGAGGGAAGCAAATTGTATTCCTTATCACAAGGTCTCATTTCAAAGGTAGGAAGCATAAAGGATCTAAGATATACAACCATCAAAGATAAATAACTGAGCAAAGGACTGTCTATTAGCAAAGCTTCATGACATGATTTTCATAAGAAAATCAAAATGACAGCACAAACCCATGCCTTGTACAAACCACTACAGCCTTAAATGTAGGTAGGTAGGTAGGTAGGTAGGTAGGTAGGTAGGTAGGTAGGTAGGTAGGTAGGTAGGTAG